TAAAGCATAGTCAAGATGCTTGAGAACATGTAAATAATAAAGGGAAAAGTTAAGAAAAGGTTTAGAGAAACTCCCCCTTGATGCGATTAGGTCGACCTCTACCAAACACCTTATTCTTGAACACATAGGTTGCCTCCCAAGAAGCGTCTTAGTTAATGTCCTGGGAAGACATTATGCAACTGACTAAGTTGATTGTATGAAGGGAAGTTGATCCACCATATGCCCAGTTCGAATGCCAGCTGAAATTCCCTCATAGAATGGCTTTACACGTTGTCCATTTACTTTGAAAGTCGAGCCATATTTAAGGTTTTGAATCTCCACAACTCCATAATGAGAAACATTGACCACGGTGATGGGGCCAAGCCACATAGACTTCAATTTTACTGGAAAGAGACACATATGTCAGTTAAATAAAAGAACTGCCATACCTTTGGTCGGTTGAATGTTTCTATCACAATAACTCTTGGTTCGTTCTTTGTAAAGCTTTGCATTCTCATAAGACTCATGTCTTATTTCCTCAAATTCATTGAGCTGAAACTTTCTAACATGGCCGGCCTTGTCTACATCAAAATTCAACTTCTTGATGGCCCAAAGAGCTTTGTGTTCAAGCTCCATTGGCAGGTGACAAGCTTTCCCAAACACAAGACGAGAAGGGCTCATTTCAATGGGAGTCTTATATACAGTCCTATAAGCCCATAATGCATCATTGAGCTTGGCAACCCAATTTTTCCTTGTATGGTTCACAACCTTCTCTAGGATGTGCTTAATTTCTCTATCGCTTATTTCTACTTGACCAGAAGTTTGAAGATGATATGGTGTAGAGACTCGATGGGTGATGTTGTACTTTTCCATGAGTGCTTCGAATGGCTTGTTACAAAAGTAGCTGCCTCCATCACTAATGACAACCCTTGGAGTTCCAAACCTTGTGAAAATATTGTCCCTCAAGAACTTTAGCACCACCTTGTGATCATTGGTTTGGTGGCTGTGGATTCCACCCATTTAGACATATAATCAACATCCACAAGTATGTTGGTGTAACCAAAGAAAGATGGGAATGGTCCCATGAAATCAATACCCCACACATCGAAGAGCTCCACAATGAGTATGTTGTTCAATGGCATTTGATTCCTACGGCTTATGTTCCCCATCCTTTGACACCTATCACACTTAACACAAAAATTAAACGCATCTTCGAATATTGTGGGCCAAAAGAAACCATATTGCAAAATTTTAAGTGCAGTTTTCTTAGCTCTAAAGTGACCTCCACATGCCAATTCGTGGCTATGATTAAGTATGCCTTCTTGCTCTTTCTGGAACACACCTTCTAATGAGTTGATCCGGGCAATGCTTGAATAAGAAAGGTTCATCCAAGACATAATGTTTCACCATGGAAAAGAACTTCTTCTTGTCCTGAGAAGTTGGATAATTTCAAATAACACCACAAGCAAGATAATTAACAAAATCAGCATACCACGACTCTTTGACTTGGGCAACATATAGTTGTTCATCCGGGAAAGTCTCATTCAATAGTAGTACAGCTTCTCCTTGTTCTTCAACCACAATTCTCAATTCTGCTCAAATGGTCAGAATAAACAATTACTTTAGAACCTACAATGTAAGAACGAAATTTTTCTAAAGCAAAAACCACAGCAAGCAACTCCTTCTCTGTTGTGGAGTAGTTGAGTTGAACATCATTCAAGGTCTGGCTAGCATAATAAATCACATGGGGAAGGTTATTCTTTTGACCTAAAACTACACCAATAGCAAAGTTAGAAGTGTCACTTCCCGGGATCGGCTTCGCCGTAGCACAATATTGTCCGCTTTGGGCCCCTCTCTCTGCCCTCACGGTTTTGTTTCTGGGAACTCACGATTAACTTCCCAGTGGGTTACCCATCATAGGATTGCTCTAGCCCCAACTCGCTTAACTTCGGAGTTCCCATGACTCCAAATCCAGTGAGCTCCCAAAAGGCCTTGTGCTAGATGGAGCCGGGCATGTACATATAAGGCACATCACCCCCTCTCCGTTGGTCGATGGGGATCTAACAAGAAGCATCACACATTATTTCAAATGGTAAAGACCAATTCAGAGCCATGAGAATAGGGGCTGAAGCTAGCTCCTTCAAGGTAGTAAAAGCTTCCATGCAAGCTTCATCAAACTCAAAAACAACATCCTTAGCAAGTAGATTACACAATGGCCATGTAATGCTTGAGAAATTTTTGATGAACCTTCTATAGAATCCAGCATGGCCTAGAAAGCTTCTAACTCCTTTAACAGAGGAAGGGGGCGGTAGATTTGAGATCAAATTAATCTTGGCTTTGTCCACTTCAATTCCCTTGCTTGAAATCACATGGCCTAGCACAATTCCTTGTCTTACCATGAAGTGTCACTTCTCCCAATTTAAAATCAGACTGGTTTCCTAGCATCTTTTAAGCACTAGAGACAAGTGGTGAACACGATCATCAAAAGTTGAACCAAAACCTGAAAAATCATCCATAGATACCTCAATGAATCGTTCCACCATATCTGAAAAGATTGCCATCATGCATCTTTGGAAAGTTACTGGAGCATTCCACAAACCAAATGGCAACCTTCTAATGGGCATGTGAATGTGGTCTTCTCTTGGCTTTTTGGAGCAATAGGAATTTGATTATAACCTGAATAACCATCAAGAAAACAATAGCAAGCATGACCAGATAAACGTTCAAGCATTTGATCAATAAATGGCAAGGGAAAATGATCATTTCTTGTGGATGTGTTCAACTTCCTGTAATCAATGCAAACTGTCCAACTGGTGACAGTTCGTGTAGGAACTAGCTTATTCTTCACAACGATGATTCTAGACTTCTTTGGAATAACTTGCATAGGACTCACCCACTTAGAATCTGAAATTGGGTAGATGATTCCTACATCAAGTAGCTTTAGAACATTAGCTCTAACCACCTCTTCCATGTTGCAATTTAGTCTCCTTTAGGCATCACGGTTGGGTTTTCTGTCTTCTTCCATTAGTATTCGATGCATGCACATGCTTGGGCTTATACCTTTGATATCTGCTATGGTCCACCTAAGGGATATTTTATGCTCTTTTAGAACTTTAATTAAGCTCTCTTCTTCATGTAAGGTGGGACCTGCAGCAATTAGAACAAGAAGAGTTTCATTAACACTCAAATAAAAATATTTAAGATGATTAGGCAGAGGTTTAAGTTCTAGCTTTGGTGGGGTGATAATTTATGGCTCCAATTTCATGGATGAAGAAACTAGTTTATTATTGCTTACTTTGGTTTACAAGATGCTGACTATATTTATATACAAGTATTCTGCATGTGGGTAGAGACTTTAACAATAAAATAACATATCACTAATCTGATAAATATTCTGCACTAGTCAAGACCACATGCAGTTGTCTTGGTCCCACACCTACACTACCGTTTGTCCAGCTCTGTGTACATGCACCAGAATATTGTGTTGTCTGCTTAATGATTATGTCTTCTTCTCAACACTCCCCCGCAAACTTGACTCCCGGGAGACAAGTTTGGATACCAAATGAGAAAAGCGACCTTTGGATAGTCCTTTGGTAAAAACATCAGCTAACTGGTTAGCAGAAGGCAAGAATTGAACACGGTGAGTGCCAGTGGCTACACGTTCCCGAACAAAGTGGTAATCCAAGGCGATGTGTTTTGTGCGTGAATGAAACACAGGATTGGCAGCCATGTAAGTTGTACTGAGGTTATCACAATAGAGCAAGATCGGAAAGGAAATGGAGACCCCCAGTTCAGATAATAAACCATGAATCCATACAGTGTCAGCACAGGCATAAGCTAAAGCACGGTATTCGGCTTCGGCAGTAGATCGAGAAACTGTGCGTTGCTTTTTAGCACACCATGAGATAAGGTTAGGCCCAAGAAACACGCAAAACCCAGTAGTGGAACGGCGAGTGTTTGGACACCCAGCCCAATCGGCATCAGAATATACCACCAGGCGTGTTGGTGCAGAGGATGACTGAAGATGGAGACCTTGGCTAAGAGATCCTTTTAAATACCGTAAAATTCGTTTAACAGCCTCCATATGGGCGGTATGAGGAGCTCCCATAAATTGGGAGACATGTTGAACAGCAAATGAGATGTCAGGTCTTGTAAGTGTTAAGTACTGAAGAGAACCCACTAATTGGCGATAAAGAGTTAGATCAGAGATGGGCTCGCCAGAGGTGCATGAAAGAATCTTTTTGGAAGCGAGAGGTGTGGAGCAAGGTTAGCTTTCCAGAAGATTGCTGCGTTTTAAAATGTCCGAAGTGTATTTATTCTATGTCAGGTGTATACCAGAGGGAAGATGCTTCACTTCTAGACCGAGGAAGTAACTCAGGCGACCAATATCCTTGATTTCAAAGGCCACCCTCAATTGGCTGATAAAAGACTGCAAATGGGAAGAATAACAACTGCCAGTAACAACAATATCATCAACGTATAGTAACAGAACCATCTTGTAGGAATCGCCCTGAAAGACAAACATGGAATTATCCGCTCGACTTTGGGTGAAACCATAAGCAAGCAGGAAAGAACTGAAGCGTTGGAACCAAGCACGAGGGGCTTGTTTGAGACCATAAAGTGCTTTGTGAAGTTTGCAAATATGATGGGGATGACTAGGGTCAACAAAACCTGGGGGCTGAGTCATGTAAACCTCTTCTGTTAAAACACCATGAAGAAAGGCGTTCTTGACGTCCAATTGATGCAGGGGGCCAGCCAGAAGGTATAGCAAGACTAAGGACAGTGCGAATTGTGGTGGGCTTTACAACAGGACTGAAAGTCTCACAATAATCGATGCCAGCTTGTTGGTGATAACCTTTGGCAACGAGCCGAGCCTTGTAGCGTTCAATACTTCCATCAGAACGTTGTTTTACTTTGAACACCCATTTGCAACCAACTGGGTTGACATGTGGCATGGGAGGAACCAATGACCAAGTACCTTGTTTAAGGAGGGCATTAAATTCTTCAATCATAGCATGCCGCTAGTGAGGGAAGCGAGAGGCTTGGGTGTAACAGGTGGGTTCAAGATCAGGGGTGAGAAGAGCAGTCAATGCATGAGGAATAGGATATTTGGTGGCAATATAAGAATGCATTTTGGGCTTAAAGATGCCAGACTTGGATCGTGTTTGGATTGGGCTGGACCGAGAGGATAAAGGATTCGATGTAGATGTAGTGGATGGAAGAGTCTCCGGTGGAGATTCTGTTGGATGTGTAGACAAAGTAGGCGATGATGGATCAGGAGGATCATGAGCAGCCTGAGTTGTTGGAACAATGGGGGCCGGAGAAGAGGGTAGTGGATGTGATAATGCTACAGATACATGTACTTCAGAAGGCACATGTGTGACAATAGGAGCAGATAATGAGTGAGCAAGTGGGAGAACTGGTACAAAAACAATGTCAGGGGTCGGAGAAGATGGTGGAGTGTTGGTAGAAGCATAGTAAAATTCAGACTCATTAAAAACCACGTGTCTGGAAATATAAGCGCCCTGTAGATGGATGAAAACACTGATATCCGTGATGTTGATCACTGTAACCAACAAAGACACAAGCAACTGGGTTGACACCCATTTGCAACCAACTGGGTTGACATGTGGCATCGGAGGAACCAATGTCAAGATCAGGGGTGAGAAGAGCAGTCAATGCATGAGGAATAGGATATTTGGTGGCAATATAAGAATGCATTTTGGGCTTAAAGATGCCAGACTTGGATCGTGTTTGGATTGGGCTGGACCGAGAGGATAAAGGATTCGATGTAGATGTAGTGGATGGAAGAGTCTCCGGTGGAGATTCTGTTGGATGTGTAGACAAAGTAGGCGATGATGGATCAGGAGGATCATGAGCAGCCTGAGTTGTTGGAACAATGGGGGCCGGAGAAGAGGGTAGTGGATGTGATAATGCTACAGATACATGTACTTCAGAAGGCACATGTGTGACAATAGGAGCAGATAATGAGTGAGCAAGTGGGAGAACTGGTACAAAAACAATGTCAGGGGTCGGAGAAGATGGTGGAGTGTTGGTAGAAGCATAGTTAAATTTAGACTCATTAAAAACCACGTGTCTGGAAATATATAAGCGCCCTGTAGATGGATGAAAACACCGATATCCGTGATGTTGATCACTGTAACCAACAAAGACACAAGCAACTGGGTTGACACCCATTTGCAACCAGCTGGGTTGACATGTGGCATCGGAGGAACCAATGACCAAGAAGGAACTCCAGTCCTTCCTCGATAAGGTCAACTTTCTAAGGCGGTTCGTATCCAATTTGGCAGGAAAAATCTGGCCGTTGACTCCTCTGCTCAAACTAAAAGACACGGAACGGTTCGTATGGGGGGCAGAACATCAAGCGGCCCTTATGCCGCCGAAAAGAGGGAAACCCTTTAGGCTTTACATTTCGGCTTCAGAGGGCTCTATCGGCTATCTGCTGGCTCAAAATAACGAATCCGAACGAGAACAAGCAGTGCATTATCTGAGCCGCACCCTTAACGTGGTCGAGCTAAACTATTCGCCGATCGAGAAATTGTGCTTGACACTTTATTTCGCGGCAACCAAGTTGCGCCATTATATGCTTCCTTCGGTCGTTCAGATCATCTCCAAGACTGACCTCATCAAATATATGCTCACTCGGCCGATCATACGAGGCCGAATTGGGAAGTGGACAATGGCATTGTCCGAATTCACCTTCCAATATGTGGCTCAGAAGTCGGTCAAGGGTCAGGCATTGGCCGATTTCCTGGCTCACCACCCGGCTCAGGGGCAGGAAGAAGAGTTAGAAGTCGAGATCGGCATGGCCCGCATGGAGAAGAACTACTGGACCATGTACTTCGACGGCTCTAGTACTGAGGCCAGGTTTGGGGCCGGAGTCGTGATCCAGTCCCCTCAAGGACAAAGGTGGCAATTTGCGTTCCAGCTTGATTTCAAATGCACCAATAATCAGGCCGAATACGAAGCGCTCATCATCGGTCACGAAATTCTGAAAGAAATGAAGGCGACCCGTGTCTTGGTCTATGGTGATTCTCAGCTGGTAATTAACCAACTGACCGGGGAATACCAATGCACGAGCGAGAATTTAATTATGTATTATGTAACGGCCCTCAATACGTCCGACGAGTTTTCTAGGATCTCCTTTGAACACGTACCGCGCGCCAAAAACCGCGAGGCCAATGAGATGGCCCAGGTAGCGTCAGGCGTGAATATTCCGGACAGTGACCACGATCGTGTGATAAGAATCAAGAGGCGTACCTTGCCGGCTTTGGCCGAACGGGGAATGACAACGCAAGTGTCATCGTTTGAGATCACTGACGAAGTCAACACGGCCGAAACCGACTGGCGCTACCCTGTAGTGAAGTATCTGCACGACCCCTCCGGCAGCCACGAGAGGACTACGCGTTTCCCAGCTCGGTGTTATTTAATTTATCACAACGAGCTGTATCGAAAGGGATTAGACGGGTTATTGCTTCTATGCCCCAGCGCCGAAGATATTAAGGTTATCATGACTGAATCCCACGAGGGGATTTGCGGCACTCACCAGTCTGGCGTCAAGATGAGATGATTGGTTCGGAGGCACGGCTATTATTGGCCGACCATTTTAAAGGACTGCATAGAAT